CTTAACATTATGCTGTACTCGCTTCAGAAAAATTTTCAAAAGAAATAAAACATGCAGGTGCAACTGAAGTCTCTCCCTGATCTCATTCCCCCTCTCCCTATGGAAATAATTTCATAAATTGAACATTTATTGTTTCCAACCATATTTTTACTCTTTAAATACATTTATGTATCCATAAACCATATAAAGCATTGTTTGAAAGTTTCTGACCTTTATACAAGTGGTCCTACAATTGCAATTCCCAACAGCAGTGTACCCTAACCAAATCTTGGTATAGTCAGGCTTTAATCTTATCCCTTAGGACTTCCCAAGAACTTTACTCCCACAAATTAACACCTCTCTTCTCTATCATTTTCTCCTCTCTACCAGATCATTCCTATCAGCATACAAACGTGCTCTGACATCTTTTATCTTAAAAAAAAAAAAAAAAAAAAAATCCCTTAACCCAAAAGCCCCTTTTAGTTCCTTTTCACTGCAAAGTTTCTTGGAAAAGGTGTTTTTTAGTTTTACTCTTGCTACTTTCCACACTTCACATGCTCCCCTCAACCCATTCCACTGATACTACTCTTAAAGTGACCAATTACTTCCACATTAACAAACTGAGTAGCTATTTCTAACTTGATCTTGCAAGTGACATTCAACACAATACTCCCTTCTTTTTGAAACATTATCTTCTTTTAGCTTCCATGACATCGCACTCCTATATGACTGGCATTTTATTTTTGATTCTCCTTTGTCAATGGCTCATGTGCCTCAATTTCACTTTTTTAAACATTTTTAAAACTTTTTAATGTTTATTTATTTTGAGAGAGAGAAAGCAAGCAGAGGAAAGGCAGAGAGAGGGACACACAGAATCCGAAGCAGGTTCCAGGCTCCGAGCTGTCAGCACAGAGCCCGACACGGGGCTCAAACCCACAAAATGTGAGATCATGACCTGAGCTGAAGTTGGATGCCCAACCAACTGAGTCACCCAGACGCCCCTCTCAATCTCACTTCTAAAAGCTGGATTAACTCCAGAGCTCTCACCTAGGCTCCCTTCTTGTCTACAGTATGGCAGGAAATGCTACCATGGTCACTGAATTCATGATCACTCCTCTTCTTGGCAAGAGGACTGTAACCTAGCACATAACTGGCTAGTTACTTTACATTTCCTAGGAGCCTCTGCAGTTAGCTATGACCATACGACTAAATTCTCACCAATAGAATATGACTAGAAATGGCTATGTGCCACTTTCTGGCTAAAGCTGCTCCTTCCTCCTTACCACGGGTCAGAAGACTGAGGACAGACAGAAGGGGCTATGACATGGCTTTGATAGAAGAGACCATACCCTGAGGGAAGGAGCTGTAACAAAATGGGAAGAAAATGATCCCTGAATGACTGTGAAGCAAAGCCACCCAATGACTATCACACTCAAGAGAGTAATAAAAATCTCTCTTGTCTGAGCCATTACACTTCAGTGTCTCTGCTATAGCCTCTCAACGTAACTAATTCACATATTACAGGCATTCTCTAGGTGATCTCTACAGAACCGTACATCCCACTGCCTCCTCAACACACCCCATGGATGTCTGAGAGTTGTCACCAACTCACAACTGCCAAAAGACAATTCCACTCACTCCAAGTCATGTTAGCTCCATCTCCAAAACATACCCTATTCCCAGTAAGTTCCAGCCTTTTTCTGGTTCCTTAAACACAACCAGTTCATGCCTGCCTCAGGACATTTGTGTTTCCAGTTTTCTCCGGCTACAATGCAGTCCCTTTCATCTTTTGTGAGGCTGGCTCTCTCTCCTCATTTAGATCTCAATCTAAATACCATCTTCCCAGACAAGCCTTCCTTTATTATCTGAACACAAATTGTCATCCTGTGATCTACTCCCACATCAGTTTAAATTCCCAGCACAGCACTTTTTACTAGCTGATATTTTTGTTTTATTCACTTATTCAACAAATTATTTACTAAAATCCTAACTATATCCCAGGCACTGGACCTAAACCTGGGAATACAACCACGAACAAAACTCAGCTTCCATCTTCATAAAACACATAGTAAAGCAGATGGTGATAAATGCTGTAGAGAAAGTAGGGCAAGGGGATAGGAGTGCAGGGGCTGGGGGCTGCAATGTTAAAAGCAGGATGGACAGAGAAAACTTCACTAAGATGCCAGATGATCAAAAACCTGAAGGAAACGAGGGAACAAATAGTGGGTATCTGTGGGAAGGGGTTTCCAGACAGAAAATGTAAGTGCAAAGGCCCTGAGGTGGGAATGTATTTTACAACAAAGAGGTCAATATAAATATTTTTTTTTCAACGTTTTTTATTTATTTTTGGGACAGAGAGAGACAGAGCATGAACGGGGGAGGGGCAGAGAGAGAGGGAGACACAGCATCGGAAACAGGCTCCAGGCTCCGAGCCATCAGCCCAGAGCCTGACGCGGGGCTCGAACTCACGGACCGCGAGATCGTGACCTGGTTGAAGTCGGACGCTTAACCGACTGCGCCACCCAGGCGCCCCACAAAGAAGTCAATATAAATGGAACAGTGATGAGAGAGGAAAGCAGGAGATGAACACACGAAATGGGACCTCAATAAAGGAGGGCCAAGTACAGGAAGTCACAGGAAAAATTTGAAAAGAGATGTGGCATAATGCAATTTGAAAATATACCATAGGGGTCAAGGAGGGAAGGGAAACCAAATTGAAACCTACAGAAAAATAATTCCGTTCTTGATTTTCATAAAACCGGCTTCCTCTTAACATTTAAGCTGAAATTTGAATGACATCCTTGAAGATGTTAAGGACTTCCTTAACTGCCCAATCTAAACAGAGATGACTGCCTAGACCAGGGATCAGGGATAACGAGACAAGGTTGAATTTGGATATGTTCTGGGGTAGATCTAACAGATTTGATGTAGATATAGAGTAGGAGAGAAAGAGAAGCTCAAGAATATACTCAAGTTTTAGCCTGAACAATTAAAAGGCCAGAAATGGAATTTATTGAGGTGACAAAAAATCTGGAGTTAAATTTTAGATATAGTAAGTGAAAGATCCATGTGTTAGTCTGTCATTTCTATTAATAGATATACCTATATCTACTAGGTAGAGGTATAAAGTGGACCGACAGTTGGATATACCATTCTTAATTCAGGAGAGAGAATTCAAGCTGGAGATGTAAATTTCAGGAGTCATCAGCATATAGGTGGTATTTAAAGACTGGATGGGATCCCTAAACAGAAGCATCTCCAGCTTCTACTCTTGCCACATTCAGTCTGCAAAAAGCATCTACAATGATCTTTTTATAACATAAGACCAAATCACTCCTCTTTAAAAATGTTTAAATAATATCATCTCTGCACTTGGAATAAAACCTAACAACTATGGCTTACAAAGCTCTGAATCTTGTCTACCTCTCTAAGCCCAAGGCACAGTGGCCTTCCTTCCTTTCTTGAAGGGCACCAGACTCTTTCTTGACTCACAACCTTTGAACATGCTATTCCCTGTGCTTAAAGTGTTCTTCCCTACCCTCTGTGACCTCCTACAGATCCCTCAGCTCCGAGTTTCAAGGTCACCTGCTGAGGCCTTTCTCTATCCTCAAACCAAAATATGCTTCTTCTCTCCAGTTCTCTCTGTCGTAATGTTATCAATTTGTAAACACACATACATAAGAAAGAGAAATTTCTTGTCCGTCTGCCCCAGCAGACAATAAGTTCCATGGGTGCAGGGACTTTGTCTTGTTCAGGGCTTAATTGTGAGGGCCTAGCACAGTGCCTGGCAAGCAGCAGACATTCAAATGTTGAATAGAGACAACAGTCTTATTATGCAACATGCAATTTGCCTCATTATACACAGAATGCTTTCTTTCCCCTTCAAAAACAAAACTAAACACTGTCAAACAAATTAGAGCTTTTAACTATACCAAGGTATGTTATCAACGAAGCTTCCTTGTACCATTTTACAGGTTTCCTTCATTCAGCACTGCATTCATTCATCACAGCTTCATTCACTCACCCCATGACCATCAGTTACTAAAACTCGGCCGTGTACTTAAAAGGAATTCTTGAATTCATAGCTGAATGGGGCCTTTACCAATCATCTAATTCTCAGTTGAGAGAAGAGAAAAAAGTGGGTTAACACTTTTCTGTCCCAGGTTACAGGCAGTAGCAGAGCAGACATATGAATCCACGTTCCTGTTTTAGTGTTGCTTTTTGTTGTTGGTTTGTGTGTGTGTGTGTTTTCTGGTACATTTTCTCTTAAATAACAAGAATTCAAAGAACCATCATCATCCAAAATGACCTACACTTACTCATTCTGCATATATATTTTTAATGACACACAACAACTTTATCCAGGATCAAAATTAAGCTGCCTCTACTTAAAAACTGGGCAGCTATTAAAACGGAAAATCAGAAATATAAGCAGTTTCCAGAGTGAGCGTCCCAGTAGTTAGTAGACTTGCTAAGTCATCAAAAGAACTAGTTTCTTTCATTAGGGAACTTTTAGCAATAAGTAATGTTATTTTAGGAAGTGCAGAATCCCCTTCCCCCCCAAAAAAGGAGGAATCTAGAAAACAGCACTAGTTGAAGAAAACATTTTCACATGTTGCTTTGACACATAAAACCCTCAATATTCTGAAAAGTCAGAGACTTCCTTAACAAGGTACTAAAGGAATTTCCTTTTTTTTGATTCACAATTTAGACACACACACACACACACACACACACACACACACACAAACGCGAAGGCTGTTTTTTACGCAAACAGGCATTAACTTGGATGAATTTCGGCAAACACTTTCGGACCAGCGAGACAATTCCCCTGACCTCGCGCGAGGAAGCCACCTTCTCCCTCCCTGCAGAGTCCGGGAGCAAAGCGAGGCACGCAGGGGGCGTCTGCGCGGAGGCCGAGGGCGCCGCCGCCGCCCGGGAGGAAGCCCGTGCAGGCCCACCTGCCCCACCGCCGCCCCTGAGGCCCGGCCTGGCTCCCCGCCGGAGCCCCCCTCTGCTACCTTTCCGCCGGAAGAAGGACATGGCGGGGCCCGGGTCGGGGCGGAGGGCGCGGGGGGACTGTCGCGGGGAGGGCCCGGCTCCCCTCATTCAGCAACCGGCCCGGACTTCCGGGTCCGCAGCGGCCACCGCACTAGCCTGAAAAGAGACCCTTCTTCCGGGTGTGGGCCCCACCGCCTCCTCGAGAAGCCCAGGCAGCTCCTGCCGCCATTTTATCAACAAGCCGCCCGCCCGGAGTTCCGGTCCTTCCCCGCGCGAGGCTTCACGGGAGGCCGCGCTGTCGGCCCCGCCCCCATCCCCGCCTCCTCTCGTGGATGCGGGGGCACGCGCCCGCCCCGCCCACGTGACCCTGTGCGCGTGCGGTCTGTGCCCTTTCACTGATACCCGGTGGCCGGGACGGACGGCGTTACTGTCCGTGTGCTTTCTCCGGTATTCGGTGGCCCGGACCTGCGGCGGTACCCCGGCGCAGCTTGGTGGTGCCCGGCTGCAGCCCCGGGTGGAGCGGGACAGACCTAGTCTCGGCAAAGCTGACCCTCCCGGAGCGGGAGCGCTCCCCAACCCGGGGCTGGATGGTGCGGCGCTTCAGGTCTGGGGCGCGCGGCCGTGGGCGCTCAGAGCATGCCCTTGTACGAGGCGAGGCCGGCACTGCCACGCTCCGGCTTAGCCCCTCCTGTTTCTCGGTTCCAGTTAGGCTGAAAGGCACTGGCCGGTCGGAACGGCTTCGCCCTGCACCCCCAGAGCAGGACCCCCCTCCCCTCCCTGGTCGCGTAGTTTCCCGGGGGTCAGGGTTCCTCGAAAGGGGAAGAGGAGGCATGACCTGCTTTATGTGGCTCCTCTCTCAGTCACAGTGACCTCGGCAGTAAAAAAAGGAGAAGTGGGCTTATTTGCAGAACCAAATCCCTGCAAATGCTCAAGTTTGAAAGGGTAACTTAAAAGCATCGCCAGTAATTACAAGGCAAACTCGTGAATCATCCAGCTTTGTTCACATGCACTTCTGGCCCAGCATCCATCCCTAAAAGCAGAGCTAAATGAAACAAGTCTTTATCCCTCAGTGTCCCTCACCACTGGGTGAGTGTGCTCAGTGCCTGATTAATAATTGTACGTCCTCTTTTGGGGAAGGAACCTGGAAGATAGCACTCAATAAATGTTCACCGAATTTTGTTTTTTGTCTAATCCGTGAAGTCCATCGTGTGATGGTTGGGAAAACAGGACCGAAAAGAAGTCCCAACTTGTCTGAGGTTAGTAAGTGTCAGTGTTGAGACTATAACCAGAAACTGGGGTCTTTCACCATATAATTAGAGCAACTTAATAGGTTTGTTTTGGTCCAGGGCCCGTAAGGTAATCAGACCTGATGTTTATTGAAAGTTTTCTATGAACACTTACTGTGCCAAACCCTGCAGATTAATAATAGTCTTTGGAGTCTGTCTTGGTGTGGGGAAAACTAGGCACAGAAAAATAGCCTACCTAGGGTCACAAGCTAACTAGGGGTGAACCTTGGATTTCAAACCTAGGGAGTTGGCCTCTAGAGGCAAAGATCCAGCCTCTGCCTGGGTAAAGAGAGTGTGTTCAGGCAGAAGCCAGAGAGACTGGCCTAGACTCTGGTTGCCTGAGTGTATCATCCACCTGAGTTGGTGCTGAGAATGGATGTCTGTTTGACTCCTGCAGGCTTCAACAGAGGCTGCATAGGAATTGGGGCAGTGTCCTCCAGGGATCTGAGGGGCTATTGGAAACCAGCCTGTGCTCAGAGGTTGGGGGGGGGGGGGCGGTGGGATCTGCTGTCTGTGGCCAATAAAAACAAAGATCTTGCCCCTCTCTCCTTGGAAATGGGGATTGTCTGAAGTCAAGCGGGAGTGGGGGGCTGGGGTACAATCTGTATAAAGGGAGTAAGCAGTATCTAGGAGAGGCATAAGCACAGGGCATCACACACTTGGCATGAACACACAGTGCCCCTCTCCCTTTCCCTTCTTGTTGTGAGTTCAATCCTTTGTTGGCAGCGGCTTTTTGTCTTTGTTGACTGGTTAGTTGCATGGGACAGAAGGGGGAGTGCAAGAAATCCCCTGAATATCACTGAACAGGAGCAGTGCCAAGGAATGTGGGCAGAGTGGTGGGGATGGTTGGGATGGATCGTTCTCTAATCCCTGTAAATCTCCAATCCTTTCTCATTTTCTTTGCCTAAGCATGGGATCAATGTTAAAGCAGTGTCCTTTCCCACCTTCCAGTGTGATGACTGCTCTTGAGCCCCTCCTGGCAGAAATTCTGGAGCTGCCTTTATTCCTCCAGGCACCAGTCAGGTGATAATAGCTGTCATTATTTCTTAAGTACTTATTATGTGCTCTCAACGTACCAAGTGCTTTATAATCACAATCTCACTTCATCCTTTACTTTCTCCCCCGCAAAAGACCCTGTGAGATGCCTAATATCATTACCCCCAATTTACAGATGATGACCTTGAGACTCAGAGTAACTTACCCAGGGAGCACAGGCTGGTAAGGATTTCAATCACTGCCAGTCTGACTCCAAAGCTATTTGTTTATATTACTTGCTGTTCTCTTTTCCTCCACCTCCAGCTAATACCCATTTAGCCAATGTTCCAGCATGGGGTGTCTATTTATTGGGCAAATAAGAGGTGATGAGTAATATCTAGCAGTACAGATGCCTTCTGAATCATCACCCATTAAAGTGTTTATACGCTTAGGGAAGCTTTAAGAGTACTATCATTTAATCTGTAAGAATTTGATGATCCACGTGTGAATAAAGTTAGGATAAAATGAGAATATAAAAATAAGCCAGGGTATTCCACTCACCTGAATACCCAGTTGTGGCAAACGGATATTCTGCATTGCATTTCTAAGTTACTTTGTTACAGCCACTTTAATTTACATGTAAAACAAAATACATTTTCACTAGCAGGAATTCTGTTAATTACATTCCTAATTTTCAGGGACTCCTCACGGTCTTTTTAAACCAGTTGTATCAGTTACAACAAACCAGTGAGGTAAAATCAGCAAGGTAATTATCACAAAGCCAGTGAATAAAATTAATCTCCTATGACTAACAGTTTAAAAATTTTAATGAAGAATTCTACAACAGGGGCGCCTGGGTGGTTCGGTTAGTTAAGCATCCCACTTTTTATCTCAGCTCAGGTCATGATCACATGGTTTGTGAGGTCAAGCCCTGAGTCAGGCTCTGTGCTGACAACACATAGTCTGCTGGGGATTCTGTGTCTCCCTCTCTCTCTGCTCCTCCTCCTCCTCCTTCCGCTCTCTCTCAAAATAAATAAAGACTTCTTTAAAAAAGAATTCTAGGGGCGCCTGGGTGGCTCAGTCGGTTGGGTGTCCGACTTCGGCTCAGGTCATGGTCTCGCGGTCCGTGAGTTCGAGCCCCGCGTCGGGCTCTGTGCTGACGGCTCAGAGCCTGGAGCCTGTTTCACATTCTGTGTCTCCCTCTCTCTCTGCCCCTCCCACGTTCATGCTCTGTCTCTCTCTGTCTCAAAAATAAATAAACGTTAAAAAAAAATTAAAAAAAAAAAAGAATTCTACAACAGGCACTCAACAAATGTAGTTGTCTATATCAAACATTCATAACCTCAAGGATATTATTCAAATAAATCTTTTGATACCTTACAGAAAGGAAGCTCCCTGTACCTTATTAGTAAGCAGATAAAAGCAACTCAGATTCATGACAAGACTCAGAATAGGTATAGACGTAACTTAAAATTCTTATCAACCGTGAAAGGCTAATTCTTAAACCAGTGTTTTACATTCTCAAAAGCCTTTGTATCCGCAGCTTTGTAAAATTTATCTCCCCCCCGCCCAAAAAAATGTGTGGTCTCTGAGTTTTAGTCAAAGCTAACTCAAAAGCAGTTGGAGCTTAACATAATTTATTTCTTCTGTAGTCTCTAATCATGCCAGATAAATGGGAGTTTAAGGCACATTTTTCCCATCAAAGGAACCCAAAACAAGTAGGAGATATGAGAATAATCTCTTAAAAATGCCTAACAGAGGAGGGCCTGGGTAGCTCAGTTGGTTAAGTGTCCGACTCTTGATTTTGGCTCAGGTCATGATCTCGGGGTCATGGGATTGAGCCCCACATCGGGCTCTGTGCTGATGGGTCTGATGGATCCTGCTTGGGATTCTCTCTCTCTCTCTCTCTCTGCACCCCCCGCTCCCCCACTTTCAAAATTAAAAAATATGTATATGCCTAACAGAGACTTCCACTCTTGTGTGAACCAGAGTAAAGCCATCTTGGACAAATCCACCTTGATGGGTGCTCTATGATCAGAAGCCTTCTTGAGCACAGCACTTCACCCCACATTCTTTCTTTTTGTCTAACCACACCCTAATGTACACCCCTGGGACATAACATCCTTGATCTTCTCTGAAAGTAAGACTATGACACGGAGTGGGGCGCCTGGGTGTCTAAGTCGGTTAAGCGTCCCAACTTCGGCTCAGGTCATGATCTTGCCATCTGTGAGTTCAAGCCCTGCGTCCAGCGCTGTGCTGACAGCTTGGAGCCTGGAGCCTGCTTCAGATCTGTCTCTCTCTCTCTCTCTGCCCCTCCCCTTCTCACACTCTGTCTCTCTGTCTCTCTAAAATAAATAAATGTTTTAAAAAAAAAATTTAAAAAAAAGTCTATAATACGGAGCCATTCTCTAGCTACTAACATGTACTTCCCAGCCTCTAGAGCTAGAAAAGCAGGTCTTACTGGCACTGGGGTTGTGGAAACCCACTGGGCTTACGGTCTCCCAAGACACACTTCTGTCTGTAAGTCCCCTTAAGAAGTCATTTCTTATCAAGATGGACTTGTCAGCCCTTTCCTTCAGTCTTATGGCTCCTTTGGCCTTTTGGAGATACTTCTGGATATACCTCCCTTTCATGGAACAACTTCTAGTAACAGTGCAGCAGGTCACATGGACTAGCCACCTGCTGAGGAAAGCAGGAAAAAAAGGAAAACTGAACCCCAAAACTACAAGACATTGAAGCAAGAAGAGGGTAATGAAGAATTAGCAGATGGAGAGAGAAGAAAAGAAAAACAAAATCGAGTGAATTAAGTCCCGCCTTTGTGGCCTTTTCTCTGGGAGCTTTCCTGTT